TCCCAACTTTGATTATCATCCTCTTGGGAAGCAGGGAAGGAGAAGTCCATTTCAACCAGATATACACCAGACCTTGTACAACCCATAGTCTTCACATCACCAAGAGTCTCAAACCTGATCCTAACTTTGGGGTTTGTGAGGGGAGAGAGCATTTCCATTGCCCCCTTGACAGGCTCGTATTCCCTTCCTAAGTGGAAACAGGTGCTGAGCCATTCAGCTGGCTCTTCCTTTCCTCCCTGGCCTCCCACACCACCAAACATCCACCCAGGCATCCAATGAGGAACAAAAAGGTGAAAACGAAATCAAGCAGGAGCAACAGGGGACCTCAGGGAGACACAGCTGCTGGGCCAGATGGCATCGCTCAGAGGGATTCCAACTCGGAGCAAAGTTGCTCCAGAAAAGAAGAGGGAAAGATTTTTTTCCTTCCTTCCTTCCTTCCTTCCTTCCTTCCTTCCTTCCTTCCTTCCTTCCCCAAACCCCCTGCCTCTCCCCTTTCAATAATTTTGACAGAGACAAGCCCGCTTTCTGCATCTTTTTCCATTCCTCCCTTCTTCCCTTCTTCCCTTCCTCCTTTTCCTTCCTTTCTTCTTCCTTTCCTTCTTTCCTTCTTTCCTTCCTTCTTCCTTCCTTCCTTCCTTCCTTCCTTCCTTCCTCTTCCTTCCCTCCTTCTCAAGCCTCCCTGCCCCTATCCTCTCCCCTTTCAACTTGGGATCAGGACAAGTCATCTTTTCCCCTTCTCTCCTTCAATACTTTTGACAAGGACAGGGTTCTTCCCTTCCTACATCTTCCTTCTTTGCCTTTCAATCTTTTCAGCACTTTGGACAGAGACAAGCCCCCTTTCTGCATCTTCTTCCATTCCTCCTTTCTTTCTTTCCTTCTTTCTTCTTTCCTTCCTTCCTTCTCTAGACCCTGTCCCTTCCTCCTTCTTTCCTCCTCTTCCTCCCTTCCTTCCCCTTCCTTCCTTCCTTCCTTCCTTCCTTCCTTTCCTTTTCCTTCCTTCTTCTTTCCCTTCCCTTCTTCCTTCCTTCCTTCCTTCTTCCTTCCTTCTTCTCTCTCTCTTCTTTCTCTCCTTCCTTTCTTCCTTCCTTCCTTCCTTCTTCTCCTTCTTCCTTCCTTCCTTCCTCCCTCCCTCCCTCCCTCCCTCCCTCCCTCCCTCCCTCCTTCCTTCCTTCCTTCCTTCCTTCCTTCCTTCCTTCCTTCCTTCCTTCCTTCCCTCCCAGGAATCCCTGTCCTTGTATCTCTCTTTTCAAACCTTTCAACACTTTGGACAGAGACAAGCCCACTTTCTGCAACTACCTTCTTTCCTTCTTCCTTCCATCCTTCCTTACTTTCAATCCTTTCAACACACTGGACAGAGACAAGACCCTTTTCTTCATCTTCTTCTATTCCTTCCTTCCTTCCTTCCTTCCTTCCTTCCTTCCTTCCTTCCTTCCTTCCTTCCTTCCTTCCTTGCTAAGACCCCCTGCCCCTGTATCTCTCCTTTCAATACTTTTGACAGAGACAGGGGTCTTCTCTTTTGGCATCTTTTTCCCTTCCTTCCTTCTTTCTTCCATCCTTCTTAAGACCCCTTGTCCCTGGCTTTCCCCTTTCAAGCCTTTCAACACTTCTGGTGGAAACAAGCCCCCTTTCTTCATCTTCTTCCGTTCCTCCCTTCTTTCTTACATCCTTCCTTCCCAAGATCCCCCTGTCCTTGCCTTTCCCCTATTCAATCCTTTCAACACTTCAGACAGAGGCAGGACCCCTTTCTGCATCTTCCTCCTTTCTTTCCTCCATCCTTCCTTCCATTCTTCCTTCCTTCCTTAACAAAGCCCCCTCCCATGCCCCTATCTCTCCTCCCTTTCAACCTGGGATCAGGAGAGGACAAGACATCTTTATCCCTTCTTCCATTCATTACTTTCTGCATCTTCCTCCCTTCTTTCCTTCTTTCTTCCATCCATCCATCCTTCCTTCCTTCCTTCCCAAGACCTTCCTGTCCTTATTTATTTATTTATTTATTTATTTGCTTTATTTCTATACTGCATATTTCAGCCCAGACAGGCGACTCAATGCAGTTTGCCTTCCCCCTTTCAATTCTTTCAACACTTCGGACAGAGACAAGCCCCCTTTCTGCATCTTCCTCCCTTCTTTCCTCCATCTTTCCATCCATCCTTTCTCCTTTGCAAGCCCCCTCCCCTCCCCCTATCTCTCCCCACTTTCAACCTGGGATCAAGGCATCTTTTCCCTTCCTTCCTTCCTTCCTTCCTTCCTTCCTTCCTTCCTTCCTCTTCCTTCCTTCCTTCCTTCCCAAGACCCCCCTTTCCTCTTTCAATCTTTTCAGCACTTTGGACAGAGGCAAGCCCCTTTTCTGCATCTTCTTCCATTCCTCCTTTCTTTCCTTCTTTCTTCTATCCTTCCCAAGACTCCCTGTCCTTGCCTTTCCCCTATTCACTCCTTTTAACACTTCAGACAGACAGAACCCCTTCCTGCACCTTCCACTCTTTTATCCTTCATTTCTTCCATACTTCCTTCCTTCCTTGTCAAGTCCCCTTGACAAGGGGACAAGGCATCTTTTTCCCTTCCTTCCTTCCATACTTTCTGTATCTTCATCCCTTCTTTCCTTCTACCCTTCCTTCCTTCCCTGCCTTTCCCCTTTCAATCCTTTCAACACCTTGGTAGAGACAAGCCCTCTTTTTCTTTATCTTCCTCCTTTCTTTCCTTCTTCCTTCCATCGTTCCTTCCTTGTCTTTCAATTCTTTCAACAATTTGGCAGGGACAGGGCCCCTTTCTGCATCTTCCTCCCTTCTTTCCTTCTTCCTTCCTTCTTTCTTCCATCCTTCCTTCCCAATCTCCCCCTGTCCTTGTCTTTCCTCTTTTGGTCTTTTCAACACTTCGGACAGAGGCAAACCCCCTTTCTGCATCTTCCTCCCTTCTTTCCTCCATCTTTTCATCCATCCTTTCTCCTTCCCAAGCTCCCTCCCATGCCCCTATCTCTCCCCACTTTCAACCTGAGATCAGGACAGGACAAGGCATCTTTCCTTCTCCTTCCTTCCTTCCTTCCTTCCTTCTTTCTTTCCTTCCTTCAATACTTTCTCTATCTTCCTCCCTTCTTTCCTTCTTTCTTCTACCCTTCCTTCCTTCTTTCTTCTTCTTTCTCCTTCCTTCCTTTCTTTCCTTCTTTCTTCCTTCCTCTTTTCCTTCAATGCTTTCTGTATCTTCCTCCCTTCTTTCCTTCTTTCTTCTACCCTTCCTTCCTTCCTTCCTTCTTTCTTTCCTTCTTTCTTTCCTTCCTTCCTTCAATACTTTCCGTATCTTCCTCCCTTCTTTCCTTCTTTCTTCTATCCTTCCTTCCTTCTTTCTTTCCTTTTTTCTTTCCTTCCTTCAATACTTTCCGTATCTTCCTCCCTTCATTCCTTCTTTCTTCTACCCTTCGTTCCTTCCTTCTTTCTTTCCTTCCTTCAATACTTTCTGTATCTTCCTCCCTTATTTCCTTCTTTTGTCTACCCTTCCTTCCTTCTTTCCTTCTTTCTTTCTCTCCTTCAATACTTTCTGTATCTTCCTCCCTTCATTCCTTCTTTCTTCTACCCTTCCTTCCTTCATTCCTTCTTTCTTTCTTTCCTTCTTTCTTTCCTTCCTTCCTTCCTTCAATTCTGTATCTTCCTCCCTTCTTCCTTCTTTCTTCTACCCCTCCTTCCTTCCTTCTTTCCTTCATTCTTCTACCCTTCCTTCCTTCCTTCCATACTTTCTGTATCTTCCTCCCTTCTTTCCTTCTTCCTTCCATCCTTCCTTCCTTACCTTTCACTTTCAACCCTTTCAGCACTTCAGACAGAGACAGGACCCCTTTCTGCCTCTTCCTCCCTTCCTCCCTTCCTTCTTTCCTTCCTTCCTTCCTTCCTTCCTCTTCCTTCCTTCCTTCTCCTTCCCCCTCCTCTGTCCTCTCTCTTTCCCCTTTCATCTGTTACCAGGACCAGAACCTTGTAAGCATTCTCAGGTAGACAGGTAGACAGGACCCCTTTCTTCATCCTCCTTCCTTCTTTCCTCCTTCCTTCCTTCGCCCCCTCCCTTCCTGTCCTTCCTTCCCCCGCTTCCTTCCTTCTCTCTTGTCCTCCCCCTTTCACCCTGGGACCAGGGCCAGATCCTTGTAGGTATTCTCAGGTAGACAGGTTGACAGGACCCCTTTCTCCATCTTCCTTCCTTCTTTTTTCCTTCCTTCCTTCCTTCCTTGCCAATTCACTTCCCTTGCTCTTCTCTCTCTCTCCCCCCCCCCCCAGCCTTTCACCCTGGGACCAGGGCCAGATCCTTGTAGGTTTTCTCAGTCAAGGAGTACAGAGCCAAGTGGGCCACCTGCATCCCATCCCTGGGGTCGCCTTGGCAACCGCTTGGGGGGTCTCCTTGGCAACCCAACCCCCTTTCCCGAGTGGTACCCGCCCGGAAGGCAAGCAGGCAGGCAAGCAGGGGAGCCGCGTCTTGCTCTCTCTCTCTCTCTTTCGGAAGACAACTTTCTCTCCTTCCCTCCCTCCCTCCTTCCCTTGCCTCCTTCCCCACTCCCTCCATCCCTCGCTGGCTCCTTCCACACCCACTCCGCATCCCTTTCCCCCCTTTCGACCCGTGTTAAAGCATCCTTTTGTTCTTGGCTGGCTGTTGTTCTCTCAGCAGCAGCAGCAGCAGCAGCCTTCCTCTCTCTCTCTCTCTCTCTCTCTCTCTCTCTCTCTCTCTCTCTCTCCTTTGTCTCTGGGTTTGAGCTCTTCGCTTCGGTGCCTTCCAGCCACCTTCCAAACCCCCCAAAAGCCACGGAAGGATGGGGAGTGGGGAGGGAAGGACCCACTCGGGTCTGCGCGCCTCTTCCACGCGCCTTCCCTTTGTTGGTTGGAGAGCCGCGTTTGGAAAGAGGCGTTTGGAAAGAGACCTCGCCAAATGCCCGGGAGGGAGGGAGCCTTTAACTCTTGGAGGCCCAGGAAGGAGAGGGGGAGTGAGAGAAAGGGAGAAAGGAGGAGAGGAGCCAAGAGAGGAGAAGAGGGACTCACATGTCAGATGCAGCGGCGGCGGCGGCGCGGTTGGGCTGGTACTGCTGGCTCCGGCAAAGGATGGAGTGTCCGCATGCTTGGCCCATGCCTCCGCATCCTTCCCCAGCCGAAGCCGGGGGTCGAATTGGAGGGGGGGGGGCTCTGCCTGGGCGTCCCGGAGCCCCTCTCCTCCTCCTCCTCCTCCTCCTCCTCCTCCGCTTCCTGGCGCCCTCTCTTTCTTTCTCTCTTTCCCCAGATGCGAAGGAAAAGGAGACAGGGCTCCCTCTCTCCCTCTCTCTCTCTCTCTCTCTCTCTCTCAGGCTCTGCCTTGCCTTCCTCTCGCTTTCTCTTCTGGGAGGGAGTTGGGAGGAAGGTGGATGCTGTAACAGATCCTAATGCGGGTTTGCGAGAGCATATGGGAGGGGAAGGAGGAGAGGCAGAGAGAGAGAGAGACAGAAGAGAGGCATGTGCGGCGCATGTGTGTGCGAGGATCAACCTGCCTGCCTCCCCGCCTGCATGCTCCACAAGCCATCCAAGAGGATGGAGAAGCTGTGGAGGGGGGGGGCACTTTGGGGGGCGTGTTGGCACCCCTCTTCTGCCCTTTCCCTCCTGGGGAATCAGAGCCACCCAACCCACAGAGGCTTCTTCCAACTCAAGGATTCTGCTCTACTAGCCTTCCAGGATGAAGGAGGAGGCTTTGGGGTGCCCCACTTTGGGGAGGGGGGTGTTGGCACGCCTCTGCTGCTCCACAAGCCTTCCAAGAGGATAGAGGAGGGTTTCGGGTGGCCCACTTTGGGGGGGGGGGTGTTGGCACCCTCTACTGCCCCCTCCCTCCTGGGGAATAAGAGCCACCCAACCCACAGAGGTCTCTTCCAACTCAAGGATACTGCTCTACAAGCCTTCTAAAGGGATGGAGGAGGTGTTGGGGTGGCCCACTTTGGGGGGCGTGTTGGCACCCCTCTGCTGCTCCACAAGCCTTCCAAGAGGATAGAGGAGGGTTTGGGGTGCCCCACTTTGGGGTAGGGGGTTGGCACCCCTCTTCTGCCTTCTCCCTCCTGGGAAATCAGAGCACCCCAATCCACAGAGGTCTCTTCCAACTCAAGGATTCTGCTTTACTAGCCTTCCAAGAGGATTAAGGAGGCTTTGGGGTGACCCACTTGGGGGGCATGTTGACACCCCTCTTCTACTCCCTCCCTCCTGGGGAATCAGGACCACCCAAGCCACAGAGGCTTCTTCCAACTCAAGGATTCTGCTCTACAAGCCATCCAAGAGGATAGAGGAGGGTTTGGGGTGGCCCACTTGGGGGGCATGTTGGCACCCCTCCTCTGCCCTCTCCCTCCTAGGGAATCAGAGCCACCCAACCCACAGAGGTCTCTTCCAACTCAAGGATTTTGCTCTACAAGCCTTCTAAGGGGATGGAGGAGGCGTTGGGGTGGCCCACTTGGGGGGCTTTTTGGCACCCCTCTGCTGCCTCCTCCTTCCTGGGGAATGAGAGCCATCCGACCCACAGAGGTCTTTTCCAACACAAGGATTCTGCTCTACAAGCCTTCTAAGGGGATGGAGGAGGCGTTGGGGTGGCCCACTTGGGGGGCTTTTTGGCACCCCTCTGCTGCCTCCTCCTTCCTGGGGAATGAGAGCCATCCGACCCACAGAGGTCTTTTCCAACACAAGGATTCTGCTCTACAAGCATTCCAAGAGGATAGAGGAGGCTTTGGGGTGGGCCACTTGGGGGGCATGTTGGCATCCCTCTTCTGCTCTCTCCTTCCTGGGGAATCAGAGCCACCCAACCCACAGAGATCTGCTCCACAAGCCTTCCAAGAAGATGGAGGAGGCTTTAGGGTGCCCACTTGGGGTGGGGGGGGGGGTGTTGGCACCCCTCTGCTGCTCCAAAAGCCTTCCAAGAGGAAGGAGGAGGCTTTGGGGGGGCATGTTGGCACCCCTCTGCTGCCCCCTCCCTCCTGGGGAATCAGAGCCACCCAACCCACAGAGGTCTCTTCCAACCAGGATATTGCCCGCCTTGAGTCCTCCCTGGGGGGGGGGGGGGGGGGGGGGGGGGGGGGGGGGGGGGGGGCTTGAGGGGCTTCACCCCCCCCCCCCGAAATTCTCATGGTGGTTCGCGAGAAGGCCTTACTGGTGCATTATTTAAACTGTTATGTTTATTAATATCATGATCTGATCACCATACAATACAAAATGTTTGCTAGGGTAGACCCTCTTTCACTCGGACTCAGCCCCCCCTCCCCGAATCAAACCCAGCCCCCTCCCCAAATCAAAATCCTGGCTAGGGGCCTGCTTCCAACTCAAGGTTTCTGCTCTACAAGCCTTCCAAGAGGATGGAGGCATTGGGGTGGCCCACTTGGGGGGCATGTTGGCACCCCTCTTCTGCCCTCTCCCTCTCTCCTGGGGAATCAGAGGCACCCAACCCACGAGATCTCTTCCAACTCAATGATGATTCTATGAACCCAAAGGGTGCTTCTCCCCAATGGTCCCTCTTCATCATGGAAATACTCCAAAGATCTAGGAGTCCTCATGAGGAGGAAGGTGAACATGAGCCAGGAATGTCATGCAGCAGCTGAAAAAGCCAATGGGATTTTGGCCTGCATAAACTGGAGTCTAGTGCCTAGATCCAGGGAATTCTATTCTGCCTTGGTCTGACCACATTACCTGGAATCACACTGTGTCCAATTCTGGGCACCGCAATTGAAGGGAGATGCTGACTCTAAGCTGGAATGTGTCCAGAGAAAGAAAGACTCAAAGGATCAAGAGTCTGGAGAACAAGCCCTATGAGGAACGGCTTCAAGAGCTGGGCATGTTGAGCATGCAGAAGAGAAGGTTGGGAGGAGACATGGTAGCCATGTATAAATATGTGAGGGGAAGTCCTAGGGAAGAGGGAGCAGGCTTCCTTTCTACTGCCCTGGAGACTAGGATGCAATGAAGTCATGGCTTCAAACTACAGGAAAGGAAGGATATTCCACCTGAACATGAGGAAGAACTTCCTGGATGTGAGAGAGCTGTTCGGCAATGGAACTCTCTGCCCCAGAGTGTGGTGGAGGCTCCTTCTTTGGAGGCTTTGGAACAGAGGCTGGATGACCATCTGTTAGGGGTGCTGTGAATGTGATTTTCCTGCTTCTTGGCAGAATGGGGTTGGACTGGATGGCCCAGCAGGTCTCTTCCAACTCTAAGATTCTATGATTCTATGATATAGGCGTTTATACATCAGCTTTATATCCAAAGGAGTAGTTGAGAAAGCATCCAATGCAGAAGCATCACTGTGAAGGGGGTCAAAAGGAGAACCCCTTTCTCCCCCAGAATAAGAACTCTCCCCCACCCCCACCCCCCAACCCACCAATGTTATTTTCCCCACACTTTTCCGGCATTGCATTGATCATATTAGTTTCATAAAACACTTTTATGCATTTGCTGTGTTGCCATCTCCCTCGTTTGCTTCATATGCTTCTCCTTTTCTTTGGACTCTTGTTTCCAAAGTCTCAGCTGAAGTTTCAAGTTACTGTAATGCTAGATAGGTGAGGGATGTGTGTTTGCATTTGTGTGTGTGCATTCAAGATGCCAATCAATTTGTGTTGACCCCATTTTTTTTTCTCCCCTAGGAATCCTCAGAGCTGGTCTTGCCAGTTCCTTCCTCCAAAACAGAGCCTGGGATTCTTTGTTGGTCTCCCATCCAAGTCCTAACCGGGGCCGACCCTGCTTAGCTTCCAAGATCAGGCAGGATTTGGTGCTTTGTGTTGCATGTCAGCCTGTTCAGCCTGTGATTGTGTCTGATGCTCATGATGGGCAGAGCCTGGGATTCTTCGTTGGTCCCCCATCCAAGTCCTAACCAGGGCTGACCCTGCTTAGCTTCCAAGATCAGACAGGATTTGGTGCTTTGTGTTGCATGTCATCCTGTTCAGTCTATGATTGTGTCTGATGCTCATGATGGGCAGAGCCTGGGATTCTTTGTTGGTCTCCCATCCAAGTCCTAACCAGGGCTGACCCTGCTTAGCTTCCAAGATCAGGCAGGATTTGGTGCTTTGTGTTGTATGTCATCCTGTTCAGTCTATGATTGTGTCTGATGCTCATGATGGGCAGAGCCTGGGATTCTTTGTTTGTCTCCCATCCAAGTCCTAACCAGGGCTGACCCTGCTTAGCTTCCAAGATCAGGCAGGATTTGGTGCTTTGTGTTGCATGTCAGCCTGTTCAGCCTGTGATTGTGTCTGATGCTCATGATGGGCAGAGCCTGGGATTCTTTGTTGGTCTCCCATCCAAGTCCTAACCAGGGCTGACCCTGCTTAGCTTCCAAGATCAGGCAGGATTTGGTGCTTTGTGTTGTATGTCATCCTGTTCAGCCTATGATTGTGTCTGATGCTCATGATGGGCAGAGCCTGGGATTCTTTGTTGGTCTCCCATCCAAGTCCTAACCAGGGCTGACCCTGCTTAGCTTCCAAGATCAGGCAGGATTTGGTGCTTTGTGTTGCATGTCAGCCTGTTCAGCCTGTGATTGTGTCTGATGCTCATGATGGGCAGAGCCTGGGATTCTTTGTTGGTCCCCCATCCAAGTCCTAACCAGGGCTGACCCTGCTTAGCTTCCAAGATCAGGCAGGATTTGGTGCTTTGTGTTGCATGTCAGCCTGTTCAGCCTGTGATTGTGTCTGATGCTCATGATGGACAGAGCCTGGGATTCTTTGTTTGTCTCCCATCCAAGTCCTAACCAGGGCCGACCCTGCTTAGTTTCCAAGATCAGGCAGGATTTGGTGCTTTGTGTTGCATGTCAGCCTGTTCAGTCTGTGATTGTGTCTGATGCTCATGATGGACAGGGCCTGGGATTCTTTGTTGGTCCCCCATCCAAGTCCTAACCAGGGCTGACCCTGCTTAGCTTCCAAGATCAGGCAGGATTTGGTGCTTTGTGTTGCATGTCAGCCTGTTCAGCCTGTGATTGTGTCTGATGCTCATGATGGGCAGAGCCTGGGATTCTTTGTTTGTCTCCCATCCAAGTCCTAACCAGGGCCGACCCTGCTTAGTTTCCAAGATCAGGCAGGATTTGGTGCTTTGTGTTGCATGTCAGCCTGTTCAGCCTGTGATTGTGTCTGATGCTCATGATGGACAGGGCCTGGGATTCTTTGTTGGTCTCCCATCCAGCTCCTTAAGCCGCTCCTCATAGGACTTGTTCTCCAGACCCTTGATCATTTTAGTCGCCCTCCTCTGGACAGATGAACAGTCAGAAATGACTGAACGAATGAACAACAACTAATAATACTAATACTAATAATAATAGCAAACTTATTGGTCCCAGCTTCTATTTGGGGAGGCATCTCTATATTGCTGGTCCAGCAGCATTTTGAATAGCAATGGGGATATATGTAGTGCAGGCATGGGCAAACTTCGGCCTTCCCTCCAGGTGTTTTGGACTCCAACTCCCACAATTCCCAAGGTTGAGGGGGAAAAGTAAGGGAC